CCGATCTTTTCCCTTTCCCTTTCCCTTTCCCTTTCCCTTTCCCTTTCCCTTTCCCTTTCCCTTTCCCTTCTTTTCCTTTTCCTTCATAGGTTTATTCCATGCAGGACTGACAGTTAAAATAAAAAAGAGAAAGGCAAGTCTTGGCTAATTCCAGCATGTTTGTGTTACTGGAATAAAAAGTTGTAAAATATAAAAATGTTGTGATTTTTATATACAACATATACTGATAACTTTTAAAAATGCATCCTCAGAAACAGCAGAAGCAAATGTTCTCTTCAGCTTCATCAAAGAGAGCGCCCAGGCAGGAGTTCTGCCCAGCCCAGTGAAGGAAATGGCAAATGAAACCATTAACTGTAAGAATTTGATTTTATTTACCTGCAGTGTCTTTTCATAGTGCATCTGAAATAATTCCTGCTCTGTGCTCTCAGAAAAACAAAACTCAGGTCCAGCCTGGCTGAATAAATAAAGTTTGGATGGTTTCTTGGGGCTGTCCCTTATTTTATGTGTCTCCAGCTGACTGTGCCAGCTGCAGCCTGTCTGGTGCGCTCCTTCTGTCCAGAGAGTATGGAAAAGTGAGGGGAAAAGCTTTTGTCAAAAACTCCTTTTGGAGGATACAAAGATTAAATAATAGATATATTCATGATCTGAGTTCCCTTTTGTTTTACCTTTTTTTTGGGGTGGGGTGGGGGGAGTGCTTTTCTGCTGCTTTTAAATCTCCTTTTTATTGCCTTAAGATCCATTTTGGCCATTGCTCTTTGAGTAATTTCTGGCTCAGACACCCTTAACGTGTCTTTTAAACTTGTAGTGGAGGCTGTAGTGGACGTCTACACAGTGGAACAGCTGAAAGAAAAAGCTCTGCAGAGTGATGGGAAGCTGGAGCCTCTCCATGGAATTATTTATGGCTACATTTCCACCCTGGACATTGATGAGAACGTGTCCAGAGTCCTGCGCAACAGATGGTGAGCAACTGCCTGCTTGGAATGTGTGCTAAAAACTGCTTGTCCCTCTTCCCCACACCCAAATGAGATGGAGCAGTATTTTAGTCCCATCCCAGAGAAGAAATAAAACTCCTCTGGAGGATGCCATGTGGGTTTCTGTTGTGGGCTCTGTGAAGGCTCTTTATGGTCCTAGAGTGAAAAAGAAAGATATCACTTTGTCTCAGACAGACTCAAGAGTTTAGGAGATAAAAACTTTTTTTTAAAGGACAAAGTCTCTTGGGAAATCTCAGTCTAGAAAAACGTTTCAGGAAGAATAAATTGCATAGCTGCATGAATTCTCTCCTTGTGTTTCAGCTCAATCTGCCGGTTCATCGTGAACGAAGCATCAAACACCTGCACCTTCTGCAGTGATGTCTCTCCAGAGGCCAAGTCCACCTTTGCCAGCTTTGACATCCTGGTGGATGTGACAGATCACACGGGCACCCTGCGCTCCTGCTACCTGTCCGACTGTGTCGCTGAGGAAAGCCTGGGCTGCACAGTAAGGGGGGATTGGGCTGTTCCTCCTGAGCTCAGCTGAGGAGCCTGGTGGGAATTGCAAACACCTGCAAAAGTTCTGTGTGTGTGCAAGAGTTAGAAAAATGGCATGGATGGATGGATGGATGGATGATGGATGGATGGATGGATGGATGGATGGATGGATGGATGGATGGATGGACGAGGGATGGATGGATGATGGATGATGGATGGATGGATGGATGGATGGATGGATGGATGGATGGATGGATGGATGGAATCCATGGATGAATGGATGGACAGAGCTGTTGGACAAGGTAAAATCTGGAAGTCAGCAGATGCCAGCAGGAATTGTGTTCAGTGTAAGTGTGAAGCCAGTTCAGAACACTGCTCTTCTGAGAACGTGGTTGGAAATCCCTGCCTCTGATTTTCAAACACCCTGCAATTTGTTAATGTGACTGTCTTGGTACACATATCACACCAAGCACTATGTTAAAATAGAAAAATAAAGCTTAGAAATCTATAAAAATGTGTAAAATGTTCTTTTCATCATCATTCTGTTGTGGAGATGTTTTAACTACCTGCTGAAGTATTCTGTGGTGTCCTGTTAACAGGTCCATGAATTCCTCATGCTGGAAGAAAACCAGAAGACTGCACTGAAATGGCAACTCCTCTTGGAACGAAGCAAGATTTACTTCAAAGTTAGTATTTAATGTTTAATTCAAAACAGTTTTTCACTTTTAAACTTGTCCTTTTTGGAAAAACTCTTCTTACTCTTCCATCTCCCCTTTCTCTGTCCCTGTTTCCAGGACAGAATGAAAATGACAGGCACATGGCATAAATGTGTACTCACACAGGAAATGATGCAAATAGATCTGTCAAACATGTTGTGTGACATCTCAAAATAATCTCTGCCAAGGTGCTGTGATAACAAAGATCCTTAATTATTTTTCCAGGTTACTTTGTCACCCAATTGGAGAACAGGATTAAAAGTGAATCTTCTTTCCTGCAGACTGGCAGATCCTGTAGAGGCGAGTCAGAGCTTGTTGGGAAGAGAGTGGAATTATTAATAAATGCTAGGAAAGGCTTCCTTCACTCTGCTGTTAGAGATGGAATTGTTGTTGGATGCTGTTGTTGGATTTTGCCAAGTCTGTTCTGATTGTAAAGAAGGAGTTCTTGTTACAATACCTCCAAGGGGGCTTCTGAGTTCATATTTTTGGGTGATTGTGCTTTAAAAAAGTGTACTTGGGTCTCAGCTTAAAAGGTAATTCTACCAAATTCAATCCCTTTCAAGGGGCCTGGAAGGTTTCCTCGCTCAGCTGAGATCTTTGACAAAACCAGAAATAACAAATAGGTCAAAAGAGATCTGTTGAACTTCTGTGGTTTTAACTGCTTTGCTGCTTTTGTGTTAAATAAAACCCCCTTGAAACACTGCCTGGGTTTGTTGTGCACCTCAAAACAACATGGCACAGAGAAAACCCCCACAGAAACAGGAAATCCTGACAAGCAATCCCAGATTGCATCCCTGACTCAGGGGTGGCAGTAAAAGACCCCAAAAATGCTGCCAGCGTTGGGTCACGGCATCCCTCTTGTAGCAATAAACAACTCAACATTTTCCAGCCATAACAATTCCCATTCTGAAGGGAATGTTTCCAATAACTTAATCCTGTCAATACCTGGGGCTGGAGACCAAACTGCAAATGATGCCCTGCTGCTGTTGCCAGAGATGGGAATGTTCGACAGGCAGGAGGAAATTTAAACAGTACAGACACCTTAATTCCATCCTTCCTCTTCCAGAACTGTTCACCCTATTTTAATTCTGAAGAAATTCTACAGAAATTCTTTAATTTCTTCTCTCAGTGTGGTGTGCAGCACCCTGGACCATGCTGCTTTCACAGAGCTGCTTCTCTTTGGGAGACAGGATTTTTCTCTGTAGAACTCCCCACTTTTAAAACCAAAGCTTTTCCTAGCAGCTGTTGAGATCCAGCTCTGATAAATGGAAGTGTTTAACTTTGGTGCTTTACATTTATGTAAGTTGTGTTTTTTTTAATCCATCTGCTTTTGCTAGAAATGAGCCAGTTCTGTGCAAACTTTGAAAATCTAAGTTTTGATGTTTGCACAGGGAGGATTTTTTAAATTATATTTTACAGCTTGCTCTGTTGAATTGAAAGAGAACTCGCTGTCATGCAAACTGGTGGGGAGTGCTGGATCAGCTGGAGTTGGGAACTGGGGAAAGTTACCCAGCCTGGCTTTTAGCAGCTGGAAATACTTAAAACTCCAACTGCTGCAGTTACAGTTTTACTAAAAATTGAAATCAGTCAAAAGACAAGTTTGGTGGTGATCTTTACCCATGTTTCTTTATTCTTGATCTTTTTGCATTATTTCACTTTTAGAACATATTTAAAGCACAGTTTAGGAAAAAAACCAATCTGCCAAACATCTGGCACACTTCCTGCTGCCTTCGCCCCTTGGAGTGGGAAGAGAAACCATCCTCCTTTAATTTTTATGTTTGAAAAAAAGGAGGGAGGAATCACTAAACTAATCCAAAAAATCAAACATCTTTCTCTTGTAGAGGAAACATTTTGTGAAGCTGCAATTCTTGATTTAGGGTTGCACATCTCCATATACACCTCTGACCTCCTGCAGCATGGCTGAGCTTTAGCTCCTACATCATCATTTGAATCGTTTAGATCAGTAGTTTTTATTTTAAGGCAAAACTCAAAGTATCAGCAGAAGAGAAGCACACACAGAAGGGACAGCCAGCCCCATTCCCCTCCCCAGTGTCTCCATCACCAGTTCCCAGGTATGGCTTTGGAATTTTGGAATCTGGAGCTTCTGGGCTCTGCCTGCTCCAGGCTGGGCTGGACTCCAGGTTTGCTGAAGCCTCCATGGAACTGGGGTTGTGTCAGTCCAACGCATTTTGGGCTCCTGGTTTCCGTGCCTTTGATGTGTGGCAGTCCCTCTGTGCCTGGGGCCGTGGGAGTGTTGGTGTCCCAGCTGTCCCCGTGCCAGGCAGGCTCCGGGCTGGATGTGTGCATCAGGATCCCCGTGTTTGCTGCTCCACCTTGAACCTCATGGACAGCACGTCCCTGATCCCCGCCTCGATCTCATCGTTGGCCTCCACGGAGCCGACTCCTTTGGGAGAGCCCGTGAGAATCAAGTCCCCTTCTTCCAAGGTGAAGATGTGGCTGATGTAGCTGATCAGGTAAGGGATGGAGAAGATCATGGAGGAGGTGTCCCCCTCCTGCCTCAGCTTCCCGTTCACCTTCAGCCAGATCTGCAGCTTGTGCGGGTCAGGGATCTTCTCCTTGGGCACGAAGTCACTGACGGGGCAGGACGAGCCGAACCCTTTGGCCAAGGTCCAGGGCAGCCCCTTCTTCTTGCACTCCTCCTGCGTGTCGCGGGCCGTCATGTCCAGGCACAGGGCATAGCCCGCCACATGCTCCATGGCCGCGTCCTGCGGCACGGCCCGGGCCCTGCGGCCGATCACCACCCCCAGCTCCACCTCGTGGTGCAGGTTCCGGCAGTAGTAGGGCCGCAGGATGGGGGATCCCTCCCGCACGTAGGCCGAGGAGGGCTTGAGGAAGAAGAGCGGCTCGGCGGGCAGGGCGCTGCCCATCTCCTTGGCGTGCTCCGCGTAGTTGCGCCCCACGCACACGATGTTCCTGCCCCACTCCCAGAAGCGGGACAGCGGCTTGGAGCTGCCCATGGCCGCCCTTGCCGCGTCCTTGCCGAGCCCCGCACGGCGCTGCCGCTCCTCCTCCGCGGGCCGAGGGCCGGGCCGGGGCTGAGGGCCGGGCCGGGGCCGGGCGGGCGCAGCGCCGCCCCCGCGCACGCCGGGCCGGGCCGGGCCGGGCCGTGCCGGCGCTGCCGCCGCCTCCTGGGGCGGACAGCCAAGGTAACCGGGCCGGGCGGGGCGCACGATGCTCCGCGGGGGCTGGCGGGGGTTCGGCACCGCCCTGGCAGCCGGGGCCGTCCTCGGGGCCGTTCTCCGAGCCGGTACGTGCGGCGGG